AGTGAAAAACATATTTCTAATTCATTATTCAGACTTCTGGGAACCTTTTTGTTGATTTCTCCAACTTCAAACTTGGAAATGACAAACTGTTGAAAAAAGGAAAACTTGAATTGCTTCTTTCAACTAACAAAAAATGCAAATAGCTTTGCACAGAGCTGATCTCTGCTCACATTTTATAACACGTTTCCTGGTTTATTAGGTATTAAATATTGGATCAGGTTCATTAACTGTAATATACCATGGTTTCACAGTATTTATATTTGTTTTATATTTTAAGGTAGAACAAAGATGGAACAAACACTTACCTAATACATGGAACAATAATTTTATTCCAATAACAGTTTTTAAAAACCAAAAAGATTTCAAGCCATTTGTCTCACTCATAACTGCAGTAAACATGTCAGAGCCGTCTTTAAGCCAGCTGCCTGGCAGTACACCGCATCACGTCAAGGAGAGATGCTGGTTAGTCTGTAGTTTAAACAGACTGAGAAAACTGTTTACTCCAACAATTTCTCTGGGATCCTGATACAAAGATTTTATAAAATTAGAGACAGCATCACAGAAAACCTTTACGGTCTTGAAACAGCAACTTTGTCCACAGATACCAACAATGGGGGCCCATACCTAATTTAGAGCAGCAACATGCAGTTTTTTTCTTTTTTTTTTTCTTGGCTCCAACAGTTGCTTTCTGTAAACTCTTATTCTTTTTGTGGAGAGAAAGAATTTGGACAAGCTCATTTAGGCCAGCTTTGTCCCAGCATGCCTCCTTGATCCAGTGGATGTGTCAGGGAGACGGGGCTGTAAAAAAGTAACGTCACTGTCACCCAAGGAATTATTATTGCAGAAAAAGAGCTCATTCACTGATAGATTGTTAAATTCTAGATGCAGAGGAACACCTTTGCATATCTTTCTTTCCATCTGCTGTTACCCTACATCAACTATATATTATACTCGTCACAAAATTAAAGGGAACACTAAAAAAAAAACATTCTAGATCTCTAATAAATATTCTCCTTGAAAAACTCAATTACTAACTTTATTACTCTACCTTTTATCTCCTCTTTCTTTCATCTTTTCTCTTTTTTTTCTATTTCCCTTCCTGTTCTACTTACATTGCAGTGTCCATATAATCTATAATACTCCCTGCATAATTATAATAAACATATTTATATGCATAAATCAAGTGGAACACTATGGCGATAGCCGAACTGCTCCACCTGTGAAAGTAAAATCTGTTGGGCCCTTTATGGCATCAAGACAATTATTCTTATTGCCACATTGCCAGACAGGACACATAAAAAAAAAAAAGAAAGAAAAACTTTATTACTAAACATGGACATTTTATAGAAGTATTTAACAGTTAAATAATTAGTGTAAATCTAACGTATTACACCATGGAAATCTGATTTGGATTCATATGAAAGTGGAATACCCTCTCAACATCCACCTAATTTTGGGAAATTCTCGTCTATTTTGCATACCCAAATAGAAAAGAGAATAACTTAGGAACTGTAAGCCCAAATTACATGTGTCACACATGATATAAAAGCTAACCCCTTCTAGTTTCTAAATATATACATGAGAATTGGGTGAGTAAAACACAGCCCAAACTGCATAAGTTAAAACATGACTATAAGTTGGGGTTTTTTCAGTCTAGAAAATAATAGGTCTTTTTTGAACAGCAGTGATAAAAACATGCTTGCTTGTTGTGGCTGCTTTGTCATGTTTATATTTTGACATGCTGCTATATCTGTGTTAATTATGCTTTGGTGCTCGCTGTGTCCCTAAAATGAACTTGGTGGTTTAATTGTGAAGAATCTAAGCTTTCCAACAATATCTAACATGTTTAAATTGGTAAACATTTTACCAGTGGAATTATCATGCATTCCAAGTTATTAGTTGTAAACGCTTTATTATGATGGGTTTGGAGAGGGTATTAATTACATTTCAGGGTGAATCAACATTGGTGAATATTCCTTAAAACAAGCCTCAGTCATGTGCGTGGCGTCCAATCAGTGCCTGCAGACGGTTCTAAAGAGATGGCAGATGTTCTAAGGGGCAGGCAACTCCAGTCCTCGAGAGCCAAAATCCTGCAATGTTTAGATGTGTCCCTGGTCCAACACACCTGAATCAAGTATTCTGATGATTAAGAGGACTCTGTAGAAATGGACTGCATGTTGAGCAGGTAATTCAGCCATTTGATTTAGATGCATTTGATCAAGGACAAATCTGTTGTAGGAAACCAGCCTTTTTGAGAGTGTGTGAGTGTTTCTACTGTGATGTGTGCATGTCATAGTAGTGTGTTTGAAAGGAAAACATATTTTTGTTGAGTGTGTGTGTGTGTCTACTGAGGTGTACCTGAGTAAAAGTACAGATACTTGCGTTAAAAAATACTCTGGTAAAAGTGGAAGTACTGATTAAAATTCTTTACTCAAGTAAAAATAACAAAGTACAGGCTTGTAAATTTACTTAAAGTATAAAAGTAAAAGTAGAAACCACTTTTTTCATGC